CCATGCGGCATTGCTCAGGGATTCCCTGCAGCGCTTACCTTGTCCAGCTGATGCCGGCATCCGGCTTCTGTGTTCCAGTCCCTGCAAGCATTGGGACGTACGGGGCCGGAACCGGCAGCAAATTTAATGCCTGTGTTCACCCTTCATGGGACACACATTGTCCTAGCCCTCTTACTGTTGATATATTTGTAGAATTTTTTCAGATTTGTCTTACTTTCTGCAGCAATGTGTCTTTCATAGTCTATTTGAGCTGTCCTGCTTGCTCTCTTGCATCTCTTAATGAATCCCATGTTACTATGAATGATCAAATCTGTCCCATCCATTGTGTTCTTTAAAAGCCAGTTTTCTTTTATTTGCCATTTAGGACACAGGTTTTCACATTTTTTCCTCTATTCGTATTGCTCAATTGAATACACCTGCAAATGTCCTTGTTTAACATCCTTAAAACACTCCCATTTCTCCTCTGTGTTCTTTGGTGAGACTATTTGGTCCCATTTAGTATTGCACACTAAGCAGCACACAGCTTATTGAAGTTTGCCTTTCTGCAATTTAGAGTTGCTCATCTTCATATCCATAAACCTTTCAGGATCACTAATTTATAACATTGATAAAATGTACAGCACTGAGCGAACTATTGGCGCTTTATAAATACTGTATAATAATAATAATAATGTACTTCTCATAGTCCTATATAAAAAAAAAAAAAAAAAAAAGCTCTCAGATATTTGTTGTAGCAGATAGACAACACTTTACATCTAGAACTTACCTTTTTTTTTTGTTGTATCCTCTCTTACAGTTGTCAGATGAATTCCAGTACATGTTCCCCAGTCCCTGACTTCAAGCTCAGTCAGTATAAATCCATTTTTCTACCACTCTTCTTTTCAGCAAGCAATACAAGTCACATGTCAGTTGAATTTTTATTTCTGTGCCTCCGCAATCAGAGACAGCAATTAATGTATTTACATTATACACTGTGTATTGTAGACCTATGTTTAAGTGGTGCTAAAACTGCAGAAAGGTGATTTTTTTTTTTTTCAGACCAACATACTGATGTTGGATTCTGTCTTATAGCCACCCAGTTTCTTCAGTATGTTCAAGCCTATGAAAAGTAATTTCTGTTCTAAAGGGAGTATCCACATTAGACCTCACAGTAATTTGGAAATCCCCATCTCCGACCCCCTTTTGAAGATGAAAAACTGTTACAGAAAAAATGTATGTAGCACAAGTTACAAATAAGGAACATTTCATCCTTGAGATCATTCACTTTGGACAGTTCTGTACAAAGATGAGCTCATTAATTTGCTTCTGAACCTTTACTTATGACCAAGCTGTACTGCTTATCTGCAATACAGTCTACAACAGGAAGGTCCATGACCTGGCTGTGCCTGGAATAATTGATTACACAGAAATGCAAACTCCCTGGTAGGTATAACGTTTCAGATATAGTTCATTTCACTGTCTGCATAGGTTTCAGCTTTAAAATATGGGAACAATTATTTGTAAATGTTACAGCAGACAACATACAATCAGGGCCAGTATCCATTGTGTTAATGGAGGGGAGACTTACATTTTCCCATTTACAATAGAAAATCTCTGTCATTTATTTTGACAGATTTACATTTACACTACAGGCCAAATACCAATGTGTAATTTTGCATTATGCTGCACTGCCTTCAGGCAAATCCTTTTCTCTAGTCTTGTCTAGTTTTTACTGTTGCCGTGTCCCGATTTGGAAACTATCTCCTAAAGCAGGATATACATGCACATTTTTTTTGTTCAACCAGCACGTTGAAGAAAAAAAAAAAAAAAACCCACTAATAAATCCCAACATTCACACAATTGATGTGAATGCAGGGATCTCTCCTGCTGTGCATTCTGACAGCAAGAACAACTCCAGTACACTGACTTCTTTTGAACAGAGAGTACACACATACTGAAATTTGTGTACCTGGCTTAACTTTTTGCCTGAGATGCCGTCCAAATGAAAATGTTCAGTCAAAAGTGATTACAGAAAAAGTTTTGCTTCATATTCATAAAGAAACACTGCTATAAAATGGTCCAGTTACACTATGGCAATTGTAAATATCAGTGGAGCTGCCATAATCTTCATGCTTCAGAAACAGCAGACACTATAAAAAAAGATAGGGAGTCATATTCAGTCTTCACACAGAAAGCTTTAGGAGGACATTTTGTGGACTGCTACGGTCAGCCGGTCATGCTTCTGAATCATAATGGTTCTAAGAAAAAAAAAAAAAAAAGCATGAGGTTACCATTTTTTCATTGTGAAGTTCTACAATCATTAACCCCGATTCATTATATGCAGTAACAGAGTGGATATAGCCATCAGCAGTGAATGTTGTATTCTGATGGCTGTGAAACCGCCCACTGTCAGAATACAAAAGCTCTGCAGGACAAATGCCCTCATCAACACTGAATGCGCTGATGGGGGAAATGAAAATTGTTTAATGTATGGCTGACTTAAGATACACTAGCAAACTGAAACACAACTCCAGCTAACACAGTTAAGCTAAGCAGTTACAGCAGATTTGTTCCTTTTGGGATAAAAAGTTCTAAATAAACAAAAGCTGATCATTTCACAAAGCATCTCTGTCAGTAGTAAATGGTTTGTCTCAACCCTGTAGCTGCTACATCTGCAGAACAGTTTGTTCTGTTGAAAAACAACAGGCTTATGGGCAAGATCACCAAGTGAAAATAACTGAAAGAAATCCTAAAATAAATAATGCAACCATCACATCTAATTGGTACGCTGCACTATAAATATTTACTTTCAAGTTTAATACTGCTTTATTGTACAAATAGTCTCAATTTATATGTTTTCAGTAACGTTTTACTTAGCTCCCACCCCCCCTCCATCAATAAAAAAGTAAACTGTAGCTGCCTTGGGTTTTCCACACATTGACGTTAGAGAAAAATATGAATGAGGAGCTGTAATGGAACCGGAACCCGACCACTCTTGGGTGTCTTCCGTTATACCGCAGCTTCCCCTGTCCGAACACCATCCATGGACCACACCCTGGAAATCCCTCAGGAAATAGACAGCACCCAGCTCTTCTTAAAACAGGAAGGGAACTCTTTTATTTTACACAAACAACATGTTTTATACAGAGGGCGGGGAAAGACAACCAGGAACAGGAAACACATCATCAGCCCGCCCCATCAGTAGGAGGGCTGCAGGAAATACCTCATCAGCCAGCCCCATCCAGCCAAGACAAAGAACAATGGGGCAGCACATGGCAAGGACAATAGACAGCCATGTGGCTGAGACAAAAGAATAACCACATGGCAGTACAATACAGGAACACATGCGTCCCATAATAGTTTGCTGGCCAGCATGACACAGAACAATGGGATGAAACACATGGCATAGAACAATAGGCAACCACATGGCAGGGACAAAGGAATACACAATATCAAGACAGTCACATGTACACACCCTGCACCCCTTAACAGGCACAGGGTGCCTTAAACATAATGGGGAGAACATGAGCTGACGTAGAGGTCCCCCCACCCCCAAAAGTCACTCCCATCAAAGGAGCGATCTGTGAAAATGAGATCTGCTGAAAATGTGTTAAAAAGAGATGTACGGGCATATTTAAAAAAAAAAAAAAAATCATACTTACCTAGGTGGATGCAGAATCTGTACCCCGCTGGCTCTAAGGGTGAGACCTGAGACTTTAGAGCAGACTTTAATTTGTTGCTGGCTGAAAACAGGTCACAGGAGTGGAGAATGAACTGCACTCCTGTGATCGACAGGATAAGTGCAGCCAAACTATCTTTGGCTGCACTTCTCCTTTAACTGCAGCAACGCTCAGTAAATTTAAAAAGAAAAGGTTTACCTGTAAAAATCCTTTTCTTGGAGTACATCATATGACATAGTACATTATTATATGAATGTCCCAAAGTACTGAATATGAGGAGAGGGCAACAAGTCGACTGGCCCCAAACAACTAAATCAAAACAGGTTAGAACCTAACAGCAACTTGCAAAAAAAGGTAGTATTCTCAGTGGCTCTAACATCCACTTGGTAAAACTACATAAAAGTCTGAATCAGATATAGCTTGCAAACCTAAGACCAGGAAGACCCATACTCTTAATAGAATGAGCTGTTACTAAAAGTGGTGAAACTTTGCCCTTTACATCCTAAGCCTGACAAACAGGCTCACGAATCCAAATGGTAGTGTGACCATTCCTCAGCTCTTCAGGAAGCACAAAGAGGGAATCTGACTCAAAAAAATGCAGCAGTTGACTACAGGTAACACCAGATAGCAAAAAGCACATTCAAACTGTGAAGAGCTTCATACCCTGGTGCCTGTGACTTAGGCTAGAAAGATGGTAACATACTGTCCTGGTTAGATAGGAATAAAGCCACCATAAGCAGAAAAAGATAATGAAGGTTGTGGAATCATCTTGTCACAGTGGAGCACCGAGGAAACAGTTTCTACAAAAGATCAGGCAATTCCAGAACTCAGAGCCAAGTAATGGAAATCAGAAAAAAATAACCTTCCAAATCAGAAAAACTAAAAGAATATACCAGGTAGGTTCAACAGATAAGTTCATCGACAAAGAAAGTACCGAATTGTCCTGACCGGCGGATTAATACATTATTATTATACAGTATAATTATACAGTATAAAGCGCCGATAGTTCGCTCAGCGCTGTACATTACAAAGGGGGACAGAACATGTGACAGAACAATAACAATACAATGCAAAACATGAGGGGATCGAGGGCCCTGCTCTTTCGAGCTTACAATCTACAATGTGATGTCTTGCACACACCAAGAAAAGAGAAGCAATCTATCTCTGAAAAGGACAGCCATGGACAAAATCAGTGAAGTGAAACAACAAGAAGCGCACCAACCTTGTGCATTACCTCAGTAACCAAAATTTATTTAATGAAGGAATGGTACTCACAAACAGCGAATAAAAACAGGCATGTAAGTCCACCCAGGGACTTCAAAGGCAAGAGGCCAGCGCGAATCCCATCATGGGTGTAGGTACTCAGTCCAGCTGACGCATTTCGAAGGTCAAGCCTTCTTCCTCAGAGCTGACTGGACTGAGAGTGTATGCTCCCATTTATGCCCACAGACTGAAATGGGACCCTCCCAAATGGGTTGGGCTGTCCTGGGCTGGGGGGAGGGGCCCGGGTATCAACAAAGTACAGTAATCCAAATATAAATCATAAAATTAAAATAAAATGTATATAGATGGTGAATAATACATTATATATTAAAAAATGCAGCTTATCAATACAATAGTAGGAATAAAAAATTCAAAATTTAAAATTAGTTATTAGCATTATACTGATCATCGGATGCATAAAATGTATATAAAAAATATATATATACATAAAAATATATAAATATACATATCAATGGACATAGAGGAACCCACACAATTGCATGAACTATACATTGTTTGTTTGTTCATAAACGATGAGCAATTCAGCTAGAGTGTTTGTTAAAAATACCAGAATTCATAGAATTAATAAAATTGAATAAAAAAAAAAAATTATTAGATTAGATTGATAGTAGTGGTAGCATTCATTAGTGTAAAGTTATATATGAACACAAGTACAAAGGAAAAAGTATAAACATTCATTCATATTACCAAAGCCGGGGGATGTTTCATATAGAATGGAGGGAGAGGATGGTAAATTCCAAGTGGAGTTCATTACATTTGTGTATTACTATTCTGCAGCAGAGTGAGAGCTTGTAGTCATGATCAAAGAGCAGACAGTATCCGCCTGTGGATCTCTGTATTATTGTCTGTTCGGCAGCAGAGGGAGATCTTGTAAGCCTAATATGGCTGCAGACCGGAACAGCCTGTGGAGCGCACGCCGCTGTGGAGCGCACGCCGCTGTGGAGCGCACGCCGCTGTGGAGCGCACGCCGCTGTGGCGTGGTACTAAATGCGCATGCGCGAACCAATCCGCGCCTGCGCATTACGAGCGGCATTCGCACAATCACAGTGGTCCATGCGCGCGCACATATCCAGCGGCGCTGCTCGATCCCCACAGGGTCTTAGATTCTCTATCTCCCCACTGACTGGCTCCCCACTGCGATGGATGTTAAAGGGTTATGGATGTCTATCAAGACTTGATAGTAATGGGGCCAGGTCATCAAAGCAATTGCCAATGTGATAGCCAAACCCTATAGCTGAAACTCATCGTCAGAACTCACCATAATAGTCAATTATAAAAAACACCATTTTTTTAAAAAACGTGACAGAACAATAACAATACAATGCAAAAAACATGAGGGGATCGAGGGCCCTGCTCTTTCGAGCTTACAATCAATTTTTTAAAAAAAATTGGTGTTTTTTATAATTGACTATTATGGCGAGTTCTGACGATGAGTTTCAGCTATAGGGTTTGGCTATCACATTGGCAATTGCTTTGATGACCTGGCCCCATTACTATCAAGTCTTGATAGACATCCATAACCCTTTAACATACATCGCAGTGGGGAGCCAGTCAGTGGGGAGATAGAGAATCTAAGACGCTGTGGGGATCGAGCAGCGCCGCCGGATATGTGCGCGCGCATGGACCACTGTGATTGTGCGAATGCCGCTCGTAATGCGCAGGCGCGGATTGGTTTGCGCATGCGCATTTAGTACCACGCCACAGCGGCGTGCGCAGCGGCGTCCTCCACAGGCTGTTCCGGTCTGCAGCCATATTAGGCTTACAAGATCTCCCTCTGCTGCCGAACAGACAATAATACAGAGATCCACAGGCGGATCCTGTCTGCTCTTTGATCATGACTACAAGCTCTCACTCTGCTGCAGAATAGTAAATACACAAATGTAATGAACTCCACTTGGAATTTACCATCCTCTCCCTCCATTCTATATGAAACATCCCCCGGCTTTGGTAATATGAATGAATGTTTATACTTTTTCCTTTGTACTTGTGTTCATATATAACTTTACACTAATGAATGCTACCACTACTATCAATCTAATCTAATAATTTTTTTTTTTTTATTCAATTTTATTAATTCTATGAATTCTGGTATTTTTAACAAACACTCTAGCTGAATTGTTCATCGTTTATGAACAAACAATGTATAGTTCATGCAATTGTGTGGGTTCCTCTATGTCCATTGATATGTATATTTATATATTTTTTATGTATATATATATATATATATATATATATATATTTTTTTTTTTTATATACATTTTATGCATCCGATGATCAGTATAATGCTAATAACTAATTTTAAAATTTTGAATTTTTTATTCCTACTATTGTATTGATAAGCTGCATTTTTTAATATATAATGTATTATTCACCATCTATATACATTTTATTTTAATTTTATGATTTATATTTATCTGGATTACTGTACTTTGTTGATACCTGGGCCCCTCCCCCCGGCCCAGGACAGCCCAACTAATTTGGGAGGGTCCCATTTCAGTCTGTGGGCATAAATGGGAGCATACACTCTCAGTCCAGTCAGCTCTGAGGAAGAAGGCTTGACCTTCGAAACGCGTCAGCTGGACTGAGTACCTACACCCATGATGGGATTCGCGCTGGCCTCTTGCCTTTGAAGTCCCTGGGTGGACTTACATGCCTGTTTTTATTCGCTGTTTGTGAGTACCATTCCTTCATTAAATAAATTTTGGTTACTGAGGTAATGCACAAGGTTGGTGCGCTTCTTGTTGTTTCACTTCACAGTTTGTTCGGGCTTCCCCAGCCTTGGTTTGGAGCTGCACGACTTTGGATACTCCGGTGGTTGCTTCTCTGGAGGTTTTAATTCCATCTACTCGCCACCGGCCTGGGTCCCGGAGCGCAGGAGAAATCGCTTTTGGTTTATGGACAAAATCAGACCAGTGAGCACATGCAAGCAATACAATTTCCAAATGCTGTGGTTAATCTTCCTTGAATTCACCTTCCAAGCCTTCAGTAGGGTAGGAACCACTGAATCAAAGACACCCCTTTCTCCCAAGACCCTGGCTTCAACAGCCATGTAGTGAAATATAGCGACTGTAAGAAAGATGGAAGCTAGAGGCTTTGTAACAAGAAAGGTTGGATTAATGCAGAAGCATCCAACATGTTCACAATTGTGGAGTACCATTTTCCCCTGGCCAGGCCAGGGTGAGCAAAGTCACCAGAGTTTCTTTCTCTTGAATCCTGTGAAGCAGACAAGGTAGAAGCTGAAATGGTGAATTATTATACAGGATTTATATAGCGCCGAAAGTTTGCTCAGCTCTTTACATTATGGTGGGAGACAGTATACAAGACAGTACAGTAACAATACAAATTCAAAACAAGAGGGATTCGAGGGCCCTGCTCCTTGGAGCTTAAAATCTAGGAGGGAGGGGATAGAGGTACAAGAGGTAGTAACTGTGGGGGATGGAGTAGTTAGAAGAGTAGAGGATTCCAGTATTAGCTGAGGGCGGGGTAGGCTTCCTTGAAGAGATAGGTTTTCAGAGCGCGCCTAAAAGTGAGCAGAGTAGGCGATAGTCTGATGTATTGGGTATGGAGTTCCAGAGGATGGGGGAAGCCCTGGAGACAAGCATGGGAGGAGGAGACAAGGGAGCTAGAGAGCAGGAGGTCTTGTGAGGAGTGGAGAGTACGGTTTGGGTGATATTTGAAGACAAGATTGGGGATGTAGTTTGGGGCAGTGTTATGAACGGCTTTATACATCAGTGTTAGCATTTTGAATTTTATCCGTTGGGCAATTGGAAGCCAGTGGTGGGATTGGCAGAGAGGGGTGGCAGATACAGAACGGTTAGTAAGGTGGATGAGTCTGGCAGCAGCATTCATGATAGACTGGAGTGGGGATAGCCTGCGGTGAGGTAGGCCAGTGAGGAGGGAGTTACAGTAGTCGAGGCGTGATATAATAATGGAGTGAATGAGTTGCTTAGTGGTTTCCAAGGTTAGGAACAGTCGTATTTTGGAGATGTTGCGCAGGTGAAGTCTACATGAGTTTGTCAGGGATAGGACATGGGGCTGAAAGGACAGATTGGAGTCAAGGATGACACCTAGTACCCTGGCTTGGGGGGTGGGACTGATAATAGTGTTGTTGGTCTTGATGGAGAAGTCGAGGGGGGGGGGGTGCGGGCTGGGGGGAATACTAGGAGCTCAGTTTTGGAGTGAAAGCATTAATCAAGAAGAACTGGCCCCATAGTGTCACCAAAGCATTTACCACAACACTAGAGGATCCCTGGTCCTGGAGACAAACCTGTCCAGCTTCACACTGAACCTGGACACCAGAAATCTACATCCAATTTTCCTCACCGTCAGCAGATTTCCGTGAACACCTCTGGGAGAAGAGTTCACTCTCCTGGAGACAGTTGCTGATGGCTGAGAAAAAAATCTGCCTGCCACATTTTCACACCTGGAATTTGGACTGCTGACAATGCAAAAACATGGAATTGTGCCCAAGCCAGGATGAAAACAACTACCTTCTAAGCAGCCAGACCATGACTCCTTGATGGATTATGTATGCCATAGTAGTGGCATTGGACTTTTTTTTTACAGGAAGGCCCAGCAGCTGCACCAATAAAAGCAGTAGGGTAAGGCAAATTGCCCTCAATTCTAAAATGTGAACACCCTCACCTGTGGTGACTAAGTTCCCTAGACCTAGGGATTTTCCAGAGCTTCACCTTAGCCCAACAGGCTAATATCTGCCATCAGGGCCCTCCAGGATGGAGGGAGGAACTTTTTTCCCCATCTACAACATTTGAGTGTAGATCCGCCAGTCTAGAGACCTTCTTCTGCTGGCATTTAACAAAATCGAGGAATGGAACTTCATCCTCCTAAATTCATGCCGATAAGATATGACATAGGAGGGGCCTGGAAATAGGGAACTGCCTCTGAGGCTACTATCTTTCCCAGGACCCCATGCAAAATCAAGAGATATATCAGAGAGCAAATCCATGAGCCTCAGAGCATGACATTTGTCCAGAGGTACAGCCTCACCTGGATGTTATCCAAGGTCAAGCCTAAAGATGCCAATCAGTGTTGGGACCAAGCCTGACTTATGCAAATTCAGAGCCTGTCCAAACATCTCCAGATTGTGCATCGTGTGAGACTTAGTGAAGTGGAAGCTCCCTCAGAAGTTATCCAGAATATACCCCATGTAAGCAGTAGCCCCAAAACAAGAGCCAAACCCTTAGTGAACACTCAAGGTGATGTGTACAGGTCAAAGAACAAACTGAAAATGGCTGCTCTCCACTGCAACCACAGAAAACATTTGGTGAAGTGGATAGAACAGAACTGGCAGGAAAACTCCATGCTGAACAGACACCACCACCACACTGTTTCCATCTGAACATCTGCACTCATTGAGTTTCCAGGATGGGATGAACATCGCTGGTTGGTTTTTGACCATTAAAAAATTTGAGAAGAAAATGCAAAAACTTTTGTCCTGGAACCGGAATAATCACTCCATGAAATGGAAGATACTTGAGAATTTGCAGAAGTGCAATTATTCTTTATGTAGTCAAAGAAACATTTTAAACCACAAGACCCTAGTTGGGAGAGGTCAGCAAAAGAAAAAAAAAAAAAAAAAACTAGTAGCCACATTCTGCTAGATCATGGACCCACTTGTCTGCAATCTTCCCCTGCCAAACCTCAGTGAAAGCATGAAACATCCCCCACACCCGAGCTAGTGGGGGAACACCTTCATTGTGAAGAGGACTTGTTCCCTGCATAGTGGGCTTTGGAGACCATGTTTTTATTACAGAACTGGGAATTGGCTTGCAACCGTAGGCCTGAGATTTGCAAAATGAATGTGTATTTCAAGCAACAGTGGCAGGTTTTTGAACTAAGTGATGGCAGAGTACTCTTGCTCAGAGTCACCTTTGAGAGGAGTCATCCAAGCAGGCTCACGTTTCCACGTTTCTTATAGGGTTATTCCCCGAAACAACACTTCAGGCATAGATCCTGTGCATGTGTATGTACAAGATCCCAAGATGCAAAGCTGCTATATGGAGTCCTTTATCCTCCCTGGCGGTATTCCTGAGTGTAGCTCGGGGTAAAGTTTCAGTACCACAAGCGGTAATCCTGAGCTACACTCGGGAATACCATGCAGCGCTGCTCCACGATCCCTCGATCACTTACCTTGTCCTGCGCTCCCGCAATGTCCCTCCTGCAATGTCCCAGGCAATGTAATCCGGCGGATGCTGGCATCTGTCTTCTGGGTTCCGTCCCGAGAGCGTCAGGACGTACGGGGGACGGAATGGCGGGAAATTTGAAAATGACAAAAAGTGACATTCACTAAAATCACATAGTAAAACATTACTGTATCAAACCATTTCACATACATTTTGTCCCTAGTGCTTTGTCCTGTGCCCTGCCTGCATTTTTACTGTTCTTATTGCCTGGAAACTGAGAAGCGCCCCTTTAGGTCAAAAGCGGCTTTAGACCAGCTAGAGAACACAGCGATAGTAAATCAGAACCACTTGCAGAATTGAGTGATGATTCGTGGGGAAATTCGTCATCAGACACTGAAAACAATTTTGCGACTTTGCTCAGTGATATTTAAAATTTCAGTGTTTTTGGTTTGATTATATTATGGAGTTAAATTTATTATTAGATTATTTTTTATGATTATTTATTAAATTATAATTTATGAGTTTGTGTTTCAAGTTTTATCCTACTTGGGATGTTTACTAGACTCTTGTTCGGACAGATTTCAGCGAGTTATTCCTAAGAATTACAGGCCTACAATATAAAACGCCAAATTTCCATGCAAAATAATGGTACCACTTTCAGCACCAAAAATCTGAAATAATCATACCGCCAGGGAGGTTAATACACCCACTGAGAAGCTAAGAGCAAGAAGAAAGTCCACTAGTGGTATCTATCTCTCATATCATGTGATGAACCAGACTTTAAAAGGATACATTCACCTTTTTGACAAAAATAATAAATTCACTTTTTTGCAGGTAGAAAAATGTGCATTTATTATTGTCTATTGAAAGCACTGCACCAGCGATCAGCAGATCACTGATGCCATGCAGGTCTCCTGCAGACCTGTCAGAATATCTGCTTGCCATATGGGATTAATAAGAAGCAAGCAGATATTCTGACAGGAAGTTGCAATGAACTACCACGGCGCTCCAGTGCCGTGGTAGTTCATTGAAAACGACAAGCCGTCAACCGCTAAGGTTTCCGGGACCTGAAGTTTATTCATTCATGGAAGTTTGTGAATGAATGACGTGGCCGTGTGGGCGGAGCCCCGCATGGCCACACTATTTTCAAATTTGACAGATAATATGGGGAGTCTTCTCCCCGTACTGTCAGAGGGAGGGGGTCGTCAGGCACGGCTGCGGCTATGGGAGCATCTTACATGTTCCACCCTAACAAGTGGAACATGCAACATGTTCCCAAAGGTGAACTTATCCTTTAAGGCTCTGACACATGCCAACAGCTGCAATCAATGGTTGCAACATTGCTGCCACCAGCGCAAATGGATAAAACCTCCAGGCATTTGTCTGAGGCATCTTAAAATACCAGTACCTTGTCTGCTGGGAATGTTTAGACTGCTATATCCACCTAAAGCATACTCCATTTCTTAGTGAACGCATGCTCCATGGGGTATTGCTGAGTGAACCTCTTTGGTGGAATGAACACTCTTTCAGGGTGGGCCCAGTACACATGTAAAAACATTGTTCAAATGAGGATGTACAGGGAGGACTGGGTATGCAGTGGCAGATGCCATGATCCCAATTCTGTAACCTCTGAAATGAAAGACTCAGGAAGCGTCCACTAAAAAATAGTTGAAACTACTTCCATGAGAAAACTCACAAAAGGCCTTTTTGGGTCTGGGGTAATCTTCTGCTGCCCCTTCTACTGGAAACATTTGCGACTTTCTCTACTTCGTCCT